TGCATGTGTGCACGTGTGTACCCAGAGCGCACACACCCCAAAGCGACACACATGTATTGCGTCTTTTGCAGGCCAACTGCGTGTGTGTGTGTATGTGGATGTGTCTGTCAATGAGATGTAGACGCACGCCGCTGTCGGGAGGACAGTTGTTAGCGTTCGCGTATTTAACTCCCCATCTTTGCTTCTTCTGCTTCTTCTTTCGTTAGCAGAATCAAAAAGAGTTTATTGGGGACTTTAACCGAAAGGACTGGTCTGCGTGCAGTCCTTAGCAGTGGCGTCTGTGCGTATATAAGCGTTTGCAAAAGTGCTTAGGCAAAAAATGATATGTTATTTAGGCCTTCTGGCGGAAGACCGTGTTACAGGTGTTGACGTTGTACAAATGTAGGCTCTATCTAGAGCTATGATTAGTATTCACGATGCAAACTGATAGGACGACAGACCCGTGGCTCGAGGATAGAGTTTTCGACTCAGTGACCAAAGGTCCCAGACTCGGATCCCAGGAGCTTCATACGCAGGGTTGACTAGGGCTGGCTGATGACGGCTAATAAGTCAGAGATGGCTATTCCGGTCTCCCTTGTCATTGTCTGAAAGAGGTTCTTCGGAAAAATCAATTTGTACTTATATATATGAGATATTGGCAGATATAGCTTATCTGCTGCCAAGACTGTGAAAAATCGAATCAGTCAGGAAATAGTTCCTGCGGATGGGTTTGCGTTCACACTGCTGGCTATCGATAAATCTGCGCTCGAGTGCTAAATACGGATTCAACAACCTGTTGATTTGAGCCTAACTGCATTAGAGACTGCCTCAATGTGTACGTTTCCTTTGTTGGTGAACTATAAAAACGGCAGACTAGTTGAACACCTGGTGCCCCATCAATGCAAGACTTGGGTGCGTTCATCTCAAAGGCGAGGGCTTGAGTTCATAGGGCTCGATAAATAGTTAGGCACTCGTTACAATTTTTGTAGGCCTAAATACACTAAATAGATCGACGGTTTCACTACGCGTACGAACGAGAATACGGCGCGTATAATGATGAGTTTGATCCTCTGCGTAAGTTAGCACTTATAAAAAAGAAGAAAACGGCAAGATGGGGTGGTGTAAATGCCAACATGAATGCCAAAAAGACGCTTCAAGGCATAGGCAAGTTAGAAGACGATGTTGCTTATGCAGGTACACACGCACACACACACACATATATATATATATATATATATATATATATACATACCCGTGTTGTTTTCTGTTCCTTTGAACGTTTTCCGCCACTGGCGCCGCTTTTGTTTCTACCGACACCATCGGGATCCGTGCAGGAACGCACCTGGTTGAGAGCGCCTGTGCTGGATTGCATGGACACCGATCCATCCCCACTGTCCAGACCCTTCCTGCTCTCTTCGCCTATGGCAAGGCAACTGCCCATCGACCCGTCACCTGTTGGCAGGCCTCCGCTCATGCAGGAGAGGGCCGAAGTCATACAACCCAATAAACTGCTGCAATCATCCTCCTGGCTAATCTCGGAGCTTGGCGTATTTGGGCCATCTGAGGGTAGAGAAAAAGAAATCGGGCATAATTTTTTCGGAACGGTTAACCCCTGCAAGATAACTCTTTGTTATTTTAACGTATTTCCCCGCCATAAACAGAAATAAAAGGCAAATATAAGTGGAGTAATGCAAGTATGGAGTTCGGCCGTAGCATAACGTATATATAAAAAAAGGTTTGACTCTGTTTTACCTAATAGCATAGGATATGAAGCTAACTCCGACTTCACCAAAATTAATGCCTATTGCCCTCAATATACTGAATTAAAAAGGCCGCTTCCCTTACTAAATGACTTTCTCGGGATTAAATCCACTCAGCAGATCAAAATAACGTGACCAAATCTATGTTCAACTACCATGTCCAATTTATTCATGGCTTTTGCATGAATTCCCAGCCATACTGCATTGACCGAAGGTGCGTAAAACTAGATGGCAATAGGAGAAGGTGAACACTGCCTCAGGGGGTTATGGGATACGTTTTTGGGCACAATTAATAGTATCCAGTTCTCGTGTTATTTTCATAAAATTCCTGAGGGCCCAACCAGGCGTGTGAACAGTTTTCTTCTAGCTTGCTTTTTTATTTCTGCGTCGTCAGGGCACTCTTTGTTAACACGACCCGCAATCCGTACATATGGTTTAGGTCACTCGTTTATCTAAACCCATTAGTTTGTATACAGTTCTACTGCCCTGCAAACGATATGCGTATGATATATAGCAGTGATAATGGCATATATATATATATATATTCTGTACGAGCAGACCGCAAGTCCGTGTTGCGAGAATTCAGTACTAGTTTAGTTTGAAACAAAAGTATATCGATGATAGCGTTTCCCTTCCGAACAAGCAATCGTCAACAGGGCTCCTTTGGATCCAAATTATAACGAGATTTTCAAAAAAGAGCATGACGCAACTGTCATTAACCGTTTCTATAAGTATGGACATTTATTCCTTGCTTACATGGCATACTAAAAACGGTCCCCCTCGGTGGGATTCAAACTCACATCAGCAGGCTGTACTGAAAACTACCCCGCTGAGATGGATCCAAATACCATCAAGGCCACGAGTGTTTCACAAGTGGGTCAATTAAATGCATACATGTTTTGACTATTTACTTACTATACTTGACTCGCGGCCTCTCTGGTCCACCGCATCTTTATTGCATCAAAGTATCTACTCTTTTTTGTTAACATGTAAGCACTCTACAATTTGCTAAATAGATTCAAAGTGCGCTAAC